TCCCCCCCCCCCCGCCCTCCCCCCCGCCGCCGCCGCCGCTGCTCCCAGCGGCCCGAGGCGGCGCAGCGGCTCTGGCGCAGTCTCGCGACACTTTCCGCAGCGCCGAGCCGCGCCGCGCCGCTCGCCCCGGCAGCAGCAGCAGCAGCAGCCGCCCGCGGAGGGGGAGACCCGGCTGCTCCTCGCCCCGCCGCAAGCACCGGCCAGCGGAGGGGGGAGAGACGCCCGCCCTCCGCGGCTCGGCAGCAGGAGCGCCTCCGGGCGCCCGGGCTCGGCCCCGCGCTTTCTCCTGGGCTGCTCTGCCCGGCGGTAGCGGGGACCCAGGTGGCTGGCAGGGACTGAAGGCTGAGCTCCTTCTCTTCGCCTGATTTCTTCTTTTTTATTATTATTTTTTGTTGGTTTTTTTGTTTTGTTTTTTTTTTTTTTTTATAAATACGTACGACTACGTATGCTGAGGGAAGCCGAGGTGCTGCTGGCAGGACGCAGAATGCAGCCCGGCTGCAGCGGGTGCTGAGAGCGGCGGCCGCCGGAGGAGGGAGCGGCTCTGTCAAGCAGCCTCCTCTCCTTCCCGTGGCCGGCGGCTCGGGCTGTCTCTCGCCCCCTTCGCCGCGGCCAGCCGCCTCAAACTTTAAGCCTGTTTCCGTCGCCAGGAAAAGCCCAGTTCCACATAAATGGGTGAGTTACAAGCCGTCGGCTCCGAGTTGGCGGTACCGGGGGGACCGGCCGGGGCTCCCGCCGGCGGGGTGGGGTGCTTGCCGCCGCGGACGGAGGGCCGGGGGCGGCCGCGGGGAGGGAGCTGGGCAGCCGCCCCCAGCCTCCGCTCCTCCGCCTCACGGCTTTTAACTTCTCCTCCCCTTCCCCGGCCGAGTCAATAATTGTTTTCATGTGACAGGCGGAGAGGTCGGGGTTTTGCGGCGGCGGGGCGAGGGCCGGGCGCTCCTGGGGGCTGCCGCGCGGTGGGCGATCCCCGGCGGGGCTGACAGGGTTCACAAGCCCCCCCACCTCCCCCCTGTGCACCGGCTGGCCGGCCTCGCCGCCTTCCCTGGGTACAGCCACCCCCCTGGGGCAGCCTGGGGTGTGGTGGCGCCGGGCTGGGCGGAGATGGAGGGGGAACGCGGGACACCTCCGCCCCGGACGGGCAGGTTGCGTTCCTTGAGGGGGCTGAGGGGAGAGCGCGGGGCGGCTCTGCGTGTGAGGGGGGGGACACGACACGTGCCGCCCCGCCCCGCCGCGAGGGGGCGGCCGTTGGGGGCGGTCGCGCGGGGGTCGCTGGAAGAGTCGCGCGCGGGGGGGCGGTTGCGCTGAGGCGGTCCCGCTCGCCCGTGAGGTGGCTCCCGCGGACT